TTTGGAATTTCGGTATGTCTGGTATATATCGCAGCAGAATTATAACTAGAGAAAATATCACAGGCATTATCATCGTTGCAAGGAAGGTTAGCTTATGCTTCCTTTGCTTTTTAAAGTGTTTTGCTACCATCAGACAGAAAATTCGACATTTCGGAATTTTGCACGGCATGTTCTCAAGTCTGCCCTTACGTAACGTGTCTTTTTATTTTTTAATTTACCTATCTTTTTTATATAATTTTTATAATTTATCTTTTATTGACGAGAAAGCTAACTCACAGTTTGCTACGATATGTTCGAATTCAAATTTCATACTGAAAACAATATTTGTCGCCTGTTTTCTCAGCTTAAAGACTAGAAATTTAGTGAATGGCATTAAATTTTTTTTGGTTCCAACAAAAAGAGCCTTCACATTTTTCAGGCCCACAGCGACCACTTGGCTATTTTGCACAGGTCGCCTTTGTATCGGTGCATGGCGCTTGGTTCACTTTCATATCGCCTGCCAAAGTTGAGTGCTAGTGAGGTCAGCATATTGCTATTTAATGTAATCAAGTCGGTGTCCTTCACCACAACTGGGCAGCGTTCAGTTGCATAAATACACCTGCAAAATATGTTCCTCTTGTAACTGTTGTGGTTCATAATTTGATTTCGGTTTTAATTAAAGTGAAAATTTTGCTGTCAAAGTGAGTTTGTGTGTGTATGTGTGTGTTTTGAATAAAATTGCGAATCGGTTCTGACCTAAATTAAAAAAAAATAAAAATAACTAAAATTTGTGCATACTTTTAGTAGCTTTTGTCATATTCCGTTTCATGACCATAAAAAAACAACATATTTGTGCTTGGGAATACCCCTATGCGCTTTCTCAAGACATATGTCATGTCAGGGCCATAAAAAGAAAAAACAAATAATAAAAAACCCAGTAGCGGCATCAGCTTGAAGATGGCAAGCGCATCTTTGGGCCCACTACAAGCTCTATGAGTACTCGGTTAAGTTGTACCAAAGTGTATGCGTGTGTTTGTGTGTGTGTCTCTCGGTGTGTGTGTGTGTGTGTGGGTAGGCATTTGTGCTACGAATAAAAAGGCTGCGGGCTACGTGTCCTTGAATATTAGGCTACATTTTTGTTGCTGTTTTAGAATGCTCAGATTGATACATTTTGTACATTTCAGATGAGGGGGACAATTTCGCACCACTAACAGCAGCACCCGAAAATTGCTCGTGCTAAATTCTTCAAGTCCGTGCACGGACATAAATACGTACTTGTTACTTATTTACATACATACTGGACTACTTATGTGTGTACGCATGGGTGTGTGAGTGCGTTTGTATGTGTGTGTGTGTGGGCCTCTTCTCTGTTGGCTCCACATCTTAATTATATTTGTACGCGACTTGGTGTGTATGTGAGTATTTCAGAAACAGATGTCTGCTTGTGTGACAAAACACTAAAAATATCTCAAGCATGTGGCATGGTATGCCAGCAGTTGCCAGCAACAACCAGGCTGGGCACCAGTGCGCGCAGTAAGGCACTCAGTCACACCGCCAACCCTCATACTCATGCATGAAACAACAATCTTCAACGCACCGCCAAGCCCCACACACACACACACACACACACACACACACACACACACACACACACACACACACACACACACACACACACACACGACACACACACGCATACTCACATACATCCTATTCAGAATCCTCAAACCGAAATTCCCCAATGCCCATGCCCATGCCTATGCCTATGCCCATGCTCATTCCGGTTGCACAAAAAGCAAATGTCAATGCTCACTCGGCACAGCGTTAAAGTCGAGAAAAACAGAGAGAGAAAGAGAGCGAGAGAGAGAGAGAGAGAGCGAGAGAGAGAGAAAGAAAGAGAACGAGAAAGAGAGAGAAAGAGCGCGTCAAAAGTCTAACTGTTCCATCCAACGAGTGCTTAAAAATTTCCCAACTTGTAGCAAACGAGAATAATAAAAACAATACATATAAAATATCCTCACGCATGCACGAGTCGGCAAATAGAGCGAGACAGAGCGTGTGCGTGTGTGAGAGAGAGAGAGAGAGAGAGAGAGAGAGAGAGAGAGAGAAAGAGATAGAGGGAGAGAGAGATCGAGAGGGTAAGAGCAAACGAATGCAATATATATACAACAGCTATAAGCAGAAGGGCGCGCGCTCTCTGTAGAGCTCGGCTTAATCTGCGCAACTGCTCACGCGCACATTGTCGAGGCCGAGGACGTTTTGGCAATACGTTGTGCATCCATCCAATCCATCCAAGCCACTGATGGATGCTGGCTGCATCTCCAGCTGCTGGCCTAGTTATTCAGCGAGGAATAAGGTGTGTGTGTTTACTTAGTGCTCGCGCTCTTATCAAACCACTGCGAAGACGTCATATAAGAGAGAGAGAGAGAGAGAGAGAGAGAGAGAGAGAGAGCCAAAGATTATGTGTGTATGAGCGTGTGTGTGTGCTTGTGTGTGTGAGCGCTGTTTGTGTGGTCTGATTGTGTCACTATGTCAATAGTTGTCGTTGGTCTTCTTGGCAGGTACTCCACAGCCACTTGCAGAGAGTAGTGAGCGCCGCTTTAGCCGTCGTGCTCTTTGCAGCTGATGTGCCGTCCTGCCAGACTGCGCTGCTATTCCGTCTAACCCCTGGCCAGCATATAACAACAGCAGCAACAGTAAAAGCAGCAGCAGCAGCAGCGGCGTAAGGCGCCTCGTTATTATGTTTACAATGTTGTGTAAAGTTGTAAATGAAGCACAAAGACAACACATACATATGTATATATGTATGAATATATGTGTACATACAGATATATACAGATATACAGATATATATATATATATGTATGTATATATTGGTCTAAACACTGTGTACACATACAGGTGTGGCGTGTGCATGTTTTAGTGTGGGAATAACAAAAGGCAATGAACGGGCAATAGTGACGCCAAGTGTGCGGCAGGGGCTGAAGTTCACAGATTGTGTGTGCGTGTGCGTGTGTGTGTTTAGGTGTAGGTATAGGTGCGCGTGTGTGGTTGTGTGCGCTTTTTGATTTCTCATTTGATTGTACACCCATTTCAGTCCCCGTCCATTTACAATGGGCATTAATTATGTATGCCTCAAAGGTTCAACTGGAAAATTGGACGACTTCTAAACAGCAAACATTCAGACAAAAAAGTGTAGCATAGTTTTCTGCGCTCACTACTGCTGCTGCTTCTGCTGCTCTTTCCGCTGTTCCTGCTGCTGCTGCTGCTGCTGCTACTGGGCGAGTAAAGCGTTAAGGGTGTGTTGCGCGAGTATAGTATAGTAGTTAGGTGCGATACAGTTTGAAGGTATAGGGGAGGCTTTGGGCCATGATTAGATTTGCAAATCGCACACTATTGAATTTGACAGCCTTCAATTGATGTAAATTTTCAATTTGTGATTACTCGTTTTTACCAGCCGGAATTCCGGAATTAACTTAAACGAAATTATGCATATGTGATTGCATTTGCAAGCGTCTGTATGTGTACAAATATATAACTGAAATATGCATGTATGTACACGCTTTTGAGTTAAGCACGCGAAAAATTATGCCCCTCGATAATATTTATTTTTATTGCCGAGGTCAGTGATTTTATTTGTTCTTTTTTTGTTGGCATTACAAACAAAACGAGAGCATCCCCAATGGCTAGTCTAATGTCTCAAAGCATCAAACAATAAAAGAACAAAATTAGCTGGAAATTGGCCAAAGCTGAATTTGTATGCTATAAGATGGTTGGTAAGGAATAAAAAAGTTGAATGAAATAAATATAGTTGTTCTTTATGCTAAGTCTTATTTAAATATTGAAAGACAAATTCTGTTCAAGATTCTTAGAAAGCTCAGGGCTTGTAAGAAACAATTTACAATTAATTCCAAGAACTCACACCAGAACCCGAATTCCCGCGAAAAGCCATTCAGCATAACTGACATGTGTATAAGCATGTGTGGCTAGACTAGAGATAAAATTTAATTAAGTTTCTGCATATTATAATTACGTTTTACTAAGCTTTGTGGTCAACGAAGTGCTCTAGAGCATGAGCATGGTTAAGCAAAGAGTCTTATGGCGTGAAAGCCAGAATTTTCTCGGAACTTGCACCTAGACAAGTGTCATTCAGTTGAACTGCGTTTGCAGCTCAGTGTTAAGTGATGCTTAAAACTAAATTGAAGAAGTTGTTGCAACCGGCACTCGGAACAATAAGATATATAAGCAACACAAACTGCGGCAGCCAACACCTAACCAATTAAAAGTTTTAAAAACTTTTCGAATTAACTCGAAAAACAACTTAATTTTTGTATTATTTAGTTTTTTTTTTTTGGAATTTTGTTGTTGTTGTGTGTTTGTGTGTGTGCCTGAATATATTTGAGACCCGCAGAGTGCTTCGAAATTGCGTTCCCAATGCTTGGGCTAGTCGCTATGTCTGTAGTTGTATTTCATTTTAAATGACTGAGAAACTTTTCTGTCGGCATGTCTCTATGTGTGAGAGTGTGTGTGCGTGTGTGCGTTTTGTTTGTGTGCCTGTACTCTTGCGTATCTACAAAATATCCCATTTTTCCTAGATAGGTCCATACGTCCATCGTGTAAAACAGGGGCGTTGATGCTCCCGCCCTATACATTTTGGCCTACATCGCAGCACGTAACGCACCGAGAGACTGAGATAGAGCGCCACACAGAGAGGGTGACGCCGCCACAACGATAGTCAGCAAGGCGCTTAATAAGAGACCCCCTACTGGTAGCTGAATCAAACGGGAGAGCAAAGAGCGTGACTGAGGCTGTGATGCTGCTGTTGCCTGTTTGCCTGCCTGCCCCTACCCGTACGAGGCCTTCCCAATTGAAACCGGCTCCAGCATGCTCCAATGCTCCATTGCCCCATTGCTGTTGAGCGCGAACTCGTCGTCATCTGCACATCTGCGACTGCGTCGTTGTTGACGGGCCGATGTTGCTGGGACTCGGAATTTGGGCCGTGTGCCGTGACCATGTCGCGTGCTCATGTCCTGCAGACTGCAGACGTATGCGAGCGCTTTAGAACGTTGTTTGCAATCGCGGAAAGTGGCAACGGGAAATCAGCAACGGTGACGACAGCAACAGCACCGCCAACAGTCAACCATAACATAACAGTGGCAGAGTACAACAACTGTCAACGGCCGCATCCAGAGTCACAGCCGGAGTCTGAGTCAGCAAACAAAAAAACTAAATAGAAAAAAATTACGCACACACACAGACACTCACACACACACAGTCACACACTGACACACACACAGACACACACAAGGCACTCACGTACAGCGCAAGAAAAGAAAAGGCAGCAGGCAAAAGGACACAAATTCAATTAAATGCAAACACACAAATGCAGTTGGTTCCTGGATAATATAAACTCATATAAATATAAATAAAGGCAAAACACGAAAAGAAACACACAGCCACAACAACAACAAAAATGACAAGCAGACAAAGATAAAATATTGCGATTACACATAATTGCGATTCGGTGAGCAGGCGCATTCAATCAAGCAACCAACCAACCCACTAACCAAGCAATCGGGAAGAAAAAGGTGCACCTTTAATAAGAAATAACAAAAAAAAATATATAAAAATTAAATTTAAATAAAAAAAGCATAAAAAGAGAAAATATTTTGTAAAGATTTTTTGCCATTTTTTTTTACTGTTTGCTCTCAAAACGACAAACGAAAAGTGTTCATGTAGTTAAGTGTGCTTTAAAACCAAATTTGGAATCTGAAATGCCAAAAATAACAACAGCGCTATTAAAAAATTAAATCAAATAAAATAAGTATCAAACATACTAAATTCTGGCTCTGCATGCAATAAATCGCATTGAAAATAATTTTAAATATATTTAAAATAGAACAGCAAGCAGCAATTCGAGCGGCATAACTTTCGACAAGCACATGGGTAAGGTCATAACTCCCATCAAATATATCTAATTACACTACTAACTACGGCCATAAGCATTAGCCCTTGCTTTGAGGCACACACAAATGCCAACACACATGCACGAACATACGCACACAAACACAAATAAACTCGCATGCCTTTACACACACAAATATGTGTGTACATACAAACATGATATGCTTTCGGTTGTCCGGGTCAACAAACAAATGGCAAAAAGCGTTGCGTGCTTACAGGCGCCACCCGCTAGAGATACAAATGCATTCGCATACATATAAATATAGACCTATATGTACATTAGCATTTGCGGCAATATGTTTAACTCACATTACAATTGCTATCTATTAAACTTTGAACAGAATAGTTGCGAAAAAAACCGATATATGCAATAGGATTCTGTTTAATGCACAATTAGCACATATCCCTTGCATTCCCACTGCATATTTAATCGTTTAGCAGTATTACAAAATAGTCTGGCAAATTTTCTTAATTGCCACTTACTGCATTGCAATCAGTCTGGCAACTTTACAAAATTACCACTTGCAGAAATGCAGTAAGTCACTTTGTGAAACATTAAGACTCTCTGTTTATGCACTTTATGTATTCATTAATAGATAGGTCTATGTAGTTGTGATTCTTGAATCTTGAATATTATTTAATTGTTTATATCATTAGCCCTTTACTATATTGTATAGTATATAAAATATATAAAATTATGCTAAATATAATATTATAGTTTATAGTTTACAACATTGT